GAGGAGCTGGACGTGGAGTGGCGCAGCGCAGGGGAGCAGAGGTCACCTTGCGAGGAAATAATATTATGGGATGCCTGCGGCCAGAGGCAGCCGTGCTGCTCCGATGCCCAGGCGGCAGCGGCGGGTCCGGACGGCGTTGGGGACGCGCACTGACTGCAGTATTTGGTGGGGTGAGGGGGTTCGCCACGGCCTGCCGGGAAAAGCTAAGCGCGGGGTGGTGGTGGGGGGAGGACAGGCAGATGCTTTCTTAGTTGCCTCCTGCCGTTTGGCCAGCAGCCACGGGAGAGGGGAGGGAGAAGAGAGGGGGTCTGCGTGTCAGTCACGATCGACAGACAGCTGGAAAGAGTCCATCTTGCTTAGCCGAAGCCGGCTGCCTCACTCCATCATCTGCTGGGAGATTCTTCAGGCCCCGTCCCGGTTGCAGGAGAGGAGGCCTACCTCGAAGGGGGCGTGTAAAATGAGAACAGGGCTCTCTTTCAAACAGCCGGTTGGGGTGAGAATGGGACTTTAAGCCCTGCCCTTCGCCCTTCAGTTCAGGGGTGGGGAAGACTTAATCAGCCAGAGGGCTGCTTTCCATTCTGGGTGACTCTTTGGAGGCGTCCGGCTTGCTGTAACAGTGCCAAACGGATGCTTTAGGCAGAATCACAGAGTTGCAAGCTGGAAGGATGCCCCCAAAGTTCATTTAGTCCAACCCGAAACCCTGCAATGCAGGATGGCCCACGGCCGCCATTAACCCTTCTGACGGGTGGTGCATAAGTGCTGCATGACTCCTAGAAGGCTCTCGTATATAAACCCATCCACATGCCCCAGATGCTGAAGGGGATGCTCAGCTATGGGATCCTACCTCCACCTGTGGCGGGGTTGTACAAGAGTTTTGGGTAACAGTATTCAGAGCAGTCAATTAACATCTTAAACTGCTGCATAATTCCAACTTCTCAATTAGCACCTTTATGTATATTGGATGAGGGGAATCAACATTTGCATAGCACAGACTTGATAGTGCGCCTATTTATAGCAGCTAGAATGACCATCCCTCAGTTTTGGAAAAAATTAGACGGGGCCAGTCTTAATAGTTGGTACACTAACGTGTGGGATACTGACTTACTGGGAAAACTAATGGATAAGCTGAGAGCCAGAGGAAAAGGATTTTGCACCTGTTTGGTCTGACTTTATTTCATTTCTAAGCAAGGAAGAAAGTGCCCTGGGACCCGTCTCGGCCCTTGAACAAATATGGCCGAGACAGTGACTGATTTAATTACTGGGTACTTTAATTACCTTCCTTTGGTATCACAGACTCCATGTTTTGTAACCCTGTCTTGTTAAACCATTTGTTGTTGGTGTTGGTATCTGTCAATGGAGTGCACCTCCGAGGGTGAAGTCAAACTGTGTATTAGTACCAAAGTGACCTCTCCGGGGCATAAGTCTGGGCAGTGTCTGAGGTCCTGGGTTGTCCAGATGAGCCCCCTCTCGGCCTCTCTGATCTGGTCCAAAAGAAAACAGAGCAATTTGTTTGGCACCAGCTTGGCTGCAGGAGTTGCCAGAAGGAGGCACACAGAAAACCACACAACCAACTTTGGGGCTTCACTCCCTAGCCTTTTCTTTCTGAAGATATCCTGCAAAGCAGCAGAGGTTTAGGATGAGAGTTTTCCTTCTCCTGAATGGGCTACCTTCCCAGGTGGACCATTTTGTCGCTGCTATAGCTATAGTTCCAGTTGCTGCCTTCCAAACATTCACATTCATTTATTCCGGTTTTATTTCATGTCTGTTTCTGTTTGACAGTGATCTGTAATTGCATATGGACCATGTACATTGCCATCAGATCCTGTTTGATCTTTTCCTTAAAGCTTGGCCACCCTTCCTTGCCTTCATCGATGCCTCCATAAGGAAACTGCTTCTGTCCTTTATTTTTCTTTATTTCTTGCATTTAGATCCCACCTTCTTCTCCAAGGAGTGCAAGGTGGCAAATTTGGTCCTTCTGCTCCTCAGTGAAACCCCACAACAGCCCTTCAAGGTAGGTTAGGGTGAGAGGGAGTCATGGCTCAGGGGTCACCCAGTGAGATTCATGGCCAAGTGGGGATTTGAATCCTGGTCTCCTAAGTCCTAGTCTGACACTATAACCACTATACCACACTGCCTCTCATTGTGTTCTCAGATGCATCTCTGGAAAGGCTCTACTGCATTCAGGTACAAACTCCAGCTGCTTTATTATCCTCTTCCTACTCTCTTCCACCTCCCCGCAAGAAACCTTACTTTAGGTTATTTGCCAGGTGTGAAATTGAGCTGTTGTTTTCTCTACTTTCTCTGGATTTCTTGCTTTAATTTTGTTGAGGTTTACCTGTCTTTTTACGCTATCGCTGTATTACATTGTTTGTATTACACTGAAAATATTTTCATAATACTAATAAACACAGAAAGGGCAATATTCCAAAAACAAATGGCAGAACATTTAAACCTCAGAGGATGTTCTTCCACTGACCTTTGAAATCATTATCCTGGAACAGAAGGCACTCCAAAAGGGAAGTTCCCATATACAGTCATACCTCGGGTTACAGACACTTCAGTTTGCACGATTTCGGGTTGCGCACTGTGCCAAACCCGGAAGTACAGGAATGGGTTACTTCCGGGTTTCGGCGCTTGCGCTTGCACAGAAGCACTAAATTGTGCTTTGTGCATGTGCAGAAGCGCCAAATCGTGACTTGTGCGTGCGCAAACGCAGCACAGTGGGTTGCGAACATGCCTCCCACAACCCGAGTGTCCTCTGTATGTATTTAAATCACTTTGAGATGTTTTGTGGGAAGGAATTAACAGATGAAATAAATTACAGGTGTACCTTGGAAGTCGAATGGAATCCGTTCCGGAAGTCCATTTGACTTCCAAAATGTTTGGAAACCAAAGCACAGCTTCTGATTGGCTGCAGGAAGCTCCTGCAGCCAATCAGAAGCTGCGGAAACCCTGCCAGATGTTCGGCTTCCAAAAATAGTTTGCAAACTGGAACAGTCACTTCCGGGTTTGCGGCGTTCAGGAGCCAAAACGTTCAAGAACGAAGCTGTTCGAAAACCAAGGTACGGCTGTAATTGTAGGGAAATTCTAGCAAGACCCCGCTGAGTTACCATACTGATCAGAAAAACTAATTCTATCACCTGTGGCACAAATCTGGCTGCTGGGGCTTCATTGCATCCTCCAGGACTCAGGTAGTTCTCAGGTAGTTCTCATCCTCAGGTAGTTCACTGATGCAAGATGCAGGATGCTTGAGTTCACACCAACCCTACTTGCTTAATTGTCCCATGACTACTTTGCCGGTGTTTGCTGTAGTTCCCAGGATCCCAGGATGAAACTACAGTTCCCTTTTAAATGTATGGTGTGGATGTGACCACAGTTGTCTGATTGACATTGCAAGGATTTGGACGGAAACTTTGGGCTTGTGTGTGTGTGTGTGTGTGTGTGTGTGTGTGTGTACTTCTGTACCAGAGAAGCCTGGGAGGTGATGCCCACTGATATTCTTGGTTGTCCCCTTCACTTCTCCATCCATCATTCTCTCCTTCTGGTTTCCTTCTCTGCCTGTGTCTAAATGGACTCTGGGGAAGGTCTAGGCAACAGCTGCCTTTGATCAGCTCTACATCTGGGAGAGCTGGCCCAGCAGGAATGCTGAGTTGTGATCAAAGGGGGGAGCCCTTTGACAGCTGAGCTCTGTGTTAAAGAGTTGGGGGTGGTTTCTGGGGACGATGCCCAACCAATACAGGCCAGCTCCATTCTCCTGCACCCCTTGCTTGCCCTTCAGTCTGCTTTTTTTGGACAGCTACTGTGCATACAACCTTCATCCTTCCTCATCCTTTTCAAAACAACAGGCTCGATATACCCAACCAATCACTGCATTCTACAGGAGAGGGCCTCATTCAGATTTCTTCCTATGAGGATGTACCAGTATGTCCTCCATGATGTTATTGTGGCAGCACTGAGCCTTTGGAACTCCCTCCCACTGCAATATCAGACAATGACTCTTCTCTGTTGACTGTTTGGAGTTTCTCTTTCAACAAGTCTTCTAAAATCTTTGTCCCAGTTGGTATCCATATTGGATTGTAATTGATTTCATGTATGTGCTGCTGTTTTCATATGTATGATTTTTTTTAAAAAAGCTTCCATGTATATCACTGTTTACTATTATTATCGGGTTTTATAACAAAAATAATGTTATACAAACAAGTATACCATGTTTTTTCATGCCATTTATATATATTAAAAAATAACATAATAAATGTGGAAAAATATCTACACCATGTTTCATTATTGGGGTCAATGTATAAGTTCTTGATTTAAGAATTGGTTCAAACAATTAGGAAGAAGAAGAAAAGAAAAAAGAAAGGGGGAAGGGGGAGGGAGTAGTAGTGGTGAGTGGGGTGGGATTGGGTGGTTATGCTATTATTATTCATAAGTGTGTGTGAGGGGTTTTGTCAGTGTTACTTGTATGGATTCTCTTACTATTGACTTGTATTTCCTTGGTGGTAAGAGAGGTTGGATGTGGCTTAGGGTATGGCTGGTTGTCTTTGGTTGGCTGTAGTGAGAATTGTTTTTGTGTGTGAGCGGGGTGTGAGTGTGTATTTTTGAATCAGGTTAGCCAGATTGATTCGTATGTTGTTGGGGGATTCTTGTTGTTAACGTATGTCACTGTTGTATACAGTGGTACCTCGGGTTAAGAACCTAATTCGTTCCGGAGGTCCGTTCTTAACCCGAAACTGTTCTTAACCTGAAGCACCACTTTAGCTAATGGGGCCTCCTGCTGCTGCCGCACCGCTGGAGCATGATTTCTGTTCTCATCCTGAAGCAAAGTTCTTAACCCGAGGTACTATTTCTGGGTTAGCGGAGTCTGTAACCTGAAGCGTCTGTAACCTGAAGCGTCTATAACCCGAGGTACCACTGTATATGTTGTTACATTGTAAATCACTTTGGGGTGTTTCATGGGAAGTGATTCATAAATATAATAATAATTAATATAAATAATGATGATGAGAGGAAGAGGAGGAGGAGGAGGAGGAGGAGGAGGAGAAGAAGAAGAAGAAGAAGAAGAAGAAGAAGAAGAAGAAGAAGAAGAAGAAGAAGAAGAAAGATATAAAAATGTCTGGAACCTGGTGATCACAGATTTCCAAAGGCTTAGAAAATTGAAAACATTTTTAACACTGTGCAGTGGGTCTTTATCCTTTACACCAATCCAACTATTCTTCAGGACTCTTGGCACTACCAATGCAGGGGCTATAGACCTCTTAATATTACTGCTAACGGGTATCTCTTCACATCTTCTGATTTTGTGGACGAATGAAGAGAACGGATACATGCCCTGCTTTGCCATTTCTGATATTCTGGTACTGTTACATTTTTTGTTCTTGTTTATATCTTTATGCACAATGGAATAAAATAAAGTTTTTTTTAAAAAAGAAAAGACATAAAGTTCTTAGAAATGGTGACGGTGAAGATGGTGTTCTTCAAAGGATTGACTCCTCAACAGCCTTCCTTACAGTCTCTTTTTGGAAAGCCCGTGGCTCAACACAGCCCCTCTGACTCTCACCACTCTTGCCTGAGATCTGGAGAGCCAGGCACAGATTTGGGGTGCAAAATATGACCACTGTGGGGTGTGGCCTGAAGAAAGTCCCAAGGGCCAGACAGAGATGTCTCAAGGGCCTCATTTGGTCCCTGGAGTTGAGATTCTTCACTTCTGCCAAAAAGAAAACAAAACAGGGCCACCCTGACTCCCTCTGTGCGTGACTTTCTGACAAAACATATTGTTGGTTTGACTGCATTGAAAACATCCCACATTTCACTCCCATGATGAGATGGTGGATGATGAGACCTGGATGTTCCCTATTTGCTATTCATGATTATTTAAGTCATTGGCTTAGGAATAGGACATATAGGAAGCTGTCTGGGTCAAACCATTGGCCCATTAGCACAGTATTGTTGATACTGCCTGGGAGCAGCCGTCCAGAATTTCAGATATGGAGTCTCTCCCAGCCCTACCATTGGGGATTGAACCTGGCAAAGCAAATGCTGTCCCACTGAGCTACAGCCCTTTAAAATCATACTGACATACCCTACACATGTCCTGGAAAAAAACCAGGACATTTCATTTTCTTGCATTAGAGCACAGTGGCCATTTTGGGTGCCGCAATCTTGTGCAATTTCACGCCAAGGTCTCACCCTGAAAAAAGTGCTTTTCTTGGGGCTACAATATCACATGGCAACCCAAAATGTGCATTTTTGGGCACTGGGTGAGCATGGCCTCATAAAAAGTGTGTCCTTAGTTGGTATTCTTTTTATTATGTTTTTATTTTTGATGACCTGTAAAATGTGTTCTCAGTGCTGTACAATGCCCTGGGATCGTTTCGTAAAGGGCAGTACAGCCATACCTTGGTTTTCAAGCAGCTTAGTTCTTGATTGTTTTGGCTCCTGAACACCACAAACCCAGAAGTGACTGTTCCAGTTTGCAAATTACTTTTGGAAACCGAATGTCCAACGGGAATTCCGATTGGCTGCAGGAGCTTCCTGCAGCCAATCAGAAGCCGCAATTTTGTTTCCGAATGTTTTGGAAGTCGAACGGACTTCCGGAATGGATTCTGTTTGACTTCCAAGGTACGACTGTACAGAAAATGTATTATTATGATTATTATTGTTTTTTCATAAAGCTAAACAAAACGTTATTTGGATCATCTGTGTTTGGATTCCCCTATGCATTGATTAACACACAAAAAACTAGCCAAGTGTGGGGGGCAAGTTAATTTAGTTCTTTTTCGTGCTCCCTGTTCCTATGTCCTTGTGCTAACTCAGCTAGGCATTTCACATGGGGCACATGACTTGTGCAGAATATGGGCAGGAAGAAGTGTATCCATACCAGTTTTGTGACTCAAGATTTTGGAGGGTATGTACTAAATCAGAGCAGTGGTCCATCTACTTTGGCATTGTCTACACCGACTGGCAGCTGCTCTTCAGGCAGGGGACCTTCCCAGCTCTACCTGAACATGCTGGGGGTTGATCCTGGGACCACCTGCATGCAAAACATCTGCTTTTCCCCTGAGCTGTGGACCTTCTTGTCCCGGTGCCCTTCAGTCACCTTTGCAGGCCCACGGGAACCAAGGTGAGTCACGCAAGGAAATGTGTGCTGGCCATCTCTTGGCGAAAGTCACGTCGAGCCGGGTGAGTGAGGAGGTGAGTGATGCGAGGTGATGACATGGGTCAAACGTGGCAAGGAAAAACACCTGACAGCCTTGGCCAATCACTTTCGAGCACACTTCTCCAGTTGTGCACTCTAGAAACGATCCCTGACAGGCTCAATGTGTCAAATGGGGAGAGAAGGGAGCAGAAGAGAGTGAGAATTGGCAGCACCCTGTCAACACGAGCCGTGGCTCAGGGGCACAGCAGAAAGACAGGCTGGCTCTGACCTTGCACACATGAGGTCTAGGCACAGGCACCCGCACCAAGCTAGTTCCTCATGCAGGCAGCTCTTCCTGGCTGACCCAGAGTGAAGGTTGCAGGGGGAGCTCAGCCCCAGCACAGGGAGGACAGTAAAGGGTCTCCTGTCATCCATGATTGGTGGTGGAGGGGGTGACCCTGTCAAACCAATGTCCCTTCCCATCTCCCAAGAGGACAGGAGAAGTTGTGTTGGCAGCAGCAGGATGGACTCTGTCTCAGCTTGGAACAAGGGGAGCTGCTGAATACTGAGTGAGACTGCTGGTTTATCTAGCATGGGATTCTCCAGAGTTAGTGGCAGCTGTTTGGCAGGGCTTCAGGCAAGGGACGTTCCAGGGGTGCCAACTTGAATAAAATATTGGGGGGGGGCAGGTAAGCCCTGCCCCACATAATCGCTCACAGGGCACGGTGCATGTACACCATTTGAATGGCAATGCCCCTCAACTTTGGGGGGGCTGGCCCCCTGTAATATTTTGCTGGGGGTGGTGGAAGCCCCCTCAGCCCCAGGAGATGGCTCCTATGGGACATTAATAACTGTAACCTGGAGATCATACCCTCCAACGTTTCTCAGATGAAAATAGGGAGATTTCTTACTCCCATGCCCTCACAACGGAAGCTCAAACCCCCATTTTTTGTCCCCCACAGAGCATTTCCTATCAGAAGTAGGGTGTGTGCACCACCACTACACCAACCATCCTGAAAAACTCCTAATCCCTATTCTATTCCAGAGCCGGATTTAGGTTTGATGAGACCCTAAGCTACTGAAGGCAATGGGGCCCTTTATATGTCCAGCTGTCCTTTGTCAACAACAAATTATCGCTTGTTTTTGTGTTGAATATATGCTATATGGTCATTTATGGACCTAATAGGTATCTAAAGCCATTTGCACATGTTGCCATGCAACCAGTCCATGCAGAATGTAAAGTAAAGGTAAAGGGACCCCTGACCATTTGGTCCAGTCGTGACCGACTCTGGGGTTGCGGTGCTCATCTCGCTTTACTGGCTGAGGGAACCGGCATACAGCTTCCAGGTCATGTGACCAGCATGACTAAGCCGCTTCTGGCGAACCAGAGCAGCGCACGGAAACGCCATTTACCTTCCCGCCGGAGTGGTACCTATTTATCTACTTGCACTTCGTGCTTTCGAACTGCTGGGTTGGCAGGAGCTGGGACCGAGCAATGGGAGTTCACCCCGCCGCGGGGATTCAAACCGCTGACCTTCTGATGGGCAAGCCCTAGGCTAACACACACCAATATATAAATTTTAGAAAGGGACAAGATTAGATGCGGATGCACAAAGCATTTTTTTTAAATAAAAAAATCAAGACTCCTTGCACTCTACTCCACTCCACCTTGCTTCCTGCCCAGGGCATCCCTGCCCTCTGCCTGCCCCTCAGAGCCAGTGCCTCACATGGGGCAGGGCCTCAGCAGTGGCAGCCTTTCCTCCTCCTCGCCTGTTCTCCAGCAGCCGCTACAAGCTTCTCAAGGGAGGAGGCTGGCAGCAGTGGTCATGATGAGGCCAGGGAGAGGCAGCGGTATGCTCTCTCGCAGCTGCAGCCACTGCAGCCGTCGTCGCTTGGGACAAGCAGTGGCTCATTCTCTTTCGTAAGCTTGCCAGTGGCAGCACCAGTGGAGGAAGTAGGGACATTCCGGGATCAAATCAGAAGCCGGGATGGCTTTTGTAGTTCCAGGACTTCCCCCTGGAAAATTGGGACACTTGGAGGACATAGTAAAACTTTAAGCAAAACATTTAATTGGAAAACTTGAAATTATGCCTGTGGGCTATTGCAGTGTTTCAAAGCAAAAGGATAGTGGCCCATGTTCAAACCCTACGCTGTGGTTCATCTTTACTACACTTTTCTCTGTTGCTAACATTTACTTTCACCCTGTCAACCCATTTCTCGGAGGTGATCTCCAGGTACTCAGGGAAGTCGATTCAGAGGCTTAGCCTCCGGGAGAAGTAGTTTCTTTTCCCTACGACTCTTCTCCTGACCTCCCCGTTTTGTTTCGGAGATATTTTTGGAAGCAAAAGCTTTCATTTCTCTCCTCCCCCCACCCTCTGACAGGCAGAGTGCCATTTTAGGGCTCTTGCCTACTCAACCAGAAAAACAGTGACTGAGCCTGGGCGGAATTAACCTTTAGATTCAGCAGACGAGATGCAAAATCCTTTCTGATGATTAACCCCTTGTTGACGATGTCATCCATAGGGAGGATGTCTGTTCCCTGACAGTCGGCTGTGAGAAGCAAAGGAGCAAAATCACTTTTTCGAAGGTGGCAACCCTACAAGCAGATTTGGGTGACAGATACACCTGGGCAATGCCTGATCTGTAAGGTTTTGGCACCTGAGATGCTTTGGTTCAGCCTAGGAGAGTGAGCAGAGGGTGGCACTCACCAGGGGGCTGCAGGGCACCCGAGCCACGCGTCTCTCCTGGGAGTGACACGGTGGCTTGGGTGCCCACAGGCTCCATGCTGCTCCAAATGGTCCACCCACCACCTCCCCCTCAGCTATAGGGTGGCTTAGTGGGAAGAGGCAGGCAGACTCCTCAGAGGACCCATGGATCATCCTGCCCCTGCTCTCCCTGCCCTGTGGGTGGCTGGCCCCGCTCCGGGTTCAGAGCATGTGTGCTGCCCCAGGTGCCTGATCAGCTTGCTCCACCGCTGGTTCTGTTACAGGGCAAGCATAAGTGGAGATACCCCTGCCCTGTTCTGTCCTCACTTCAGCGGGGCGCCCTTGTGCTCCACCTCACCCTGAGTTCATGGAAGGAGCCTCTATGTAAGTGCACCAGAAATGGAGAGCAGGGGAAGGGGGGAGACTAGGAATCTGGGACCGTGACTGGGAGGCAGGAGCAGGAGGAGGACTCAAGGAAAGATGGCTGCCAGGGAGAGAGCAAGAGACAGATGCAGGAAGATAATGGACTTCAAGTTAAAGCCGCCAGCTCCCCTGAAGGTTCCTGGGACAGAAAGGGAGAGAGAATGCAGGAAGATATGGTCTGCAAGTTAATGAAAGGATGCCCCCCCCAGGGGGCTCCTCTGAGTGGTCCTCAAGTCTTCCCAAGGTGCCACAGCACACTGGTTGACAACCAATGACGCAGTGAATTGAGCAGAATGGAAGGCGGAAGGCGTCAAATTTTGGCCTTGCACAGGGTGCCACTGAAATTTGAAAGACCAAAGTCCACCCCTGGTGAGATCAGGTGTGGGGAACATTTGGCCCTCCAGATGTTGCTGAACCACAACTCCCCTCATCCCTGGCCCTTGTGCCTGCTTGCTGGGGCTGATGGGAGTTGTAGTTCAGCAACCTTGGTAGAGCCACTGGTTCCCCACACCTTGGTTAGAGGCCTGTAATTAGGGTTGCTAATGTTTCAACCGTGCCTCATTGCTATGCTTTAGACACATAGGGATCTAACACAATCTGCAGGTGATGCTCTTGCATTGCTGGGAGCTGCCCTATACCGAGTCAGATCTTTGGTCCATCTACCTCAGCATTGTCCCTGTCAGAGGTCAGGAACCTATCTGAGTCTGAGGACTGCATTTCCTGTTGAGGTTATAAATATTGTGCATATGAAAGCTGTTGGATGAATAAAAACAGGCTCCTGTATTGAAATAGAAATTCTCCAGCCCAAAAATATGGTTCAAAAGCTTTACTTACAGAACTTAACTTCAAAACATCTTAAAACGAAAAAATATCAGTTGCTGGAAATGGCAGGAGGGGAGAGATGTTCTTGTGCTTGGGTTCTGCTTGCGGGATTCCCACTGGCAACTGGTTGGCCACTGTGATGCTGAACTAGGTAGGCCACTAGCATGATCCTGCAGGTTCTTCTTATGTTCTGATAAGGGTGAGTAGTGTGGGATGTGATACATAAGTAGCAGTCAAGTATAACATTCCTTGTTTTCCTAGAGTGGACATGTGGGGGAATGATTGGTCCAGCCAGTTGAAAACTTCCTGTTTCCTCCTGGCTGGGAGATACTTCCTTTGCATATGACTAGAGGTGGGCATGACCGTACCTGTCCAGGTAACACAAAAGGACAGGACACGCAGCACTCTCTCTCTCTTTGACTCCATCCGTCGTTGGAGCAGCTTTTTAGCTAGAGATGCTCTGTTGGCTTCCAACCAACAGAGGATACTGGGATTATCTCCATACGGGATAGATCCACATGCATATACTTTGTAACTAAGTCTGCCTTCAGGGATCCAACTGTGAACTGATGATGTGAGTAAACTTCTTTTATAATCTTACACAAGACTGTTGTGTGTTTATTCTTTTAAGAAGGATATAAGGGAATTTACCAGGAACCTAATAGTGAGAGGCTTACACAAGCCTGCAACCTTGTGCGTTTAATTTTTTAAAAAAATAATATTTATTAGTAGTTTTCAGAATTATAAGAAGAGAAACATTAAAAAAAACATTAAAAAACAACACTATAATAGACAAAAAGAAAAGAAAAACACAAAAACCAATACAACAATACAACAAAAAGATAAAAAGAAAAAAGAAAACAACACAAATCCCAACTTACATATCTAAAACTTCCATTTGCTTGTTTCATTGACTTCCTCACACCTCCCTTTTGTATTCTAGTTTAATTAGTTATTTCAGCAAATTCTTTCCATCTTTCTCAATTTTTGTTAAAAAATTCATCCTAACCTAATTTAATCTAATAATTAACTCAACAAATCCTTTCCATCTTTCCCCATATTCTATTATTCACATTACCTTAATTAATTTAACCTTATCTTACCCTAAAACACCTTAAAGCTTAAATCTTAGTTATCAAATATACATTACTCCTGATATCATTTCTGCTAAAGTCATATAGTTTCATTCCAACATTTTCCCTAATATTCATTAATTTTTAGCCAATTCCCCAATTAGAAAATTTTCTTTATAAATTTTCTTCCAATCTTCATCCAACGTCCCTTCTTCCTGGTCTCGGATCGTGTCAGTCCTTACTGTCCATTCCATCTAGTCCATCAACCTGGAAGCCTTATGTCCGAGGCCCTTAAGTCTCTTCCATGTCCCTTCTGCAATTCTTCTTCTTCTTGTTTATACTTGCCCTTTTCCTTGTCTTTTGTTGGTCTCTTTCTTAGTTTCTTTCCTTTCTCATTGAGGGGTAGGCCTCTGGGGGGTTCCAAGCCAGAATTGTCTCCATCTCCCTTCATCAAACCCGCCCATTCCCCACAGTCCCACTCCCCACAATCCTCAATATAGTCCAAAAAGTATTTAAAAGCATATTCCAAGGTCTCTCCAACGTTGGGAACCTCCTCAACTCCAGACTCCCCCTGGCCCACTCCAACTTCAATCTTCAATGACAGCGGCTCATACTCCTGTAGGGCCTCGGGACTCTCCATTTGTATTATTTGGGGTGCAACCGCATCCTCCTCCATTATCTTCTGCACTTGCCCAGTCAGTACAGATTCATGAGTTGGTCCCTGGATAATTTCTGTATCAATATTCCCTGTTTGCCCACAGTTATTAACTGCAACAGTCAAATCCATTTTCTCATTCATCAAGTCCATCTTCTCATGCATCTGTTCCAGCAGGGCACTTGTCTTACATAAGGCAAGCACCCAGTCTTCTTTCCAACTCATCTTTAGTCAAGGTCAGAAAAGCCTGTTCCCACGGTCTTAATCTCACATCTGTTGAGCCCTCAAGTGTACTGCAGCAACAATTTGACAAGCTCCCTCTAGAGGAGGCAATTTCTATTTGTATCCATTTTTTTTTTTAGGCAAGTCCAACAAAGGAAAATTACTTTCGTTTTTCAGATATTTTTCAGATATTTTGTTTCTTTAGGATGCAAAAGGCAACATTGGAATCAGCTTGTTTCTCTTCTTTAGCTATCTGTCAAAATATCCCATTCACAGTCAATGAACCTCTCCAACAATTTCTGTCTCTGACACCCCGTTCCCAGGTTAGAGACGGTGGAAACTTATCCTTCTTCACTCCCTCTCCTGCTAGGGTTGAACAAAGTTCCCCCTTTTCTCCTGCTTCCAAGGGGGTTTCAGTAATTCTAAATGAAGAAAATTTAGACTTTTTGACAGCTTTCCAGGCTTTAGCTTACAAAGTTTTTGCTTTAGTCTATATACAAAAGCGGAAGGCAGACTTCCTGTTTTGAACCTTCCCGCTTTGTTACCAAATTAAGAAATTTCTTGATCCAATTTTCCGTTTCTACTCACGGGTACTTATTTTAAATCCAATTGTCGACAGGAAAAAGTCAGCGCTCTCCGGCAATGGCTGTGCGGCTTCACTCCGTGAAAGTAGCAGTCAGTTCGCAGCACCGCGCTTCTCACCCCACTTCGCTCCGGAGCCCCTAAATGGGATTCCCTGCGAGTAGGGGGGCGCTCCTGGTGCCCTGCCGAACCCCACGTTCCCAGGCTTCCTCCGCCTGGGATTTCTAGCGGGTCCCCACCTTCGCCGCGGCGGGAAGACCCAGTTTCCACGGAGCCCGTTCCTCCGGACGGAGGAACTCCGCCATTCACCGATGGCGCTGACCCGGAAGTCCTCCAACCTTGTGCGTTTAAAAGGGGAATGTAAACACTGCTAAGTAAAGTAACTTGCAAATGCAAGTTAGGGAGGATATTAATAAACAATATATCCTCTCCTGCCTCCCTGAACATTCCCACAAATAGCACCCAGAGAGGGTCAAGGGCTGGATGGAGTGGCCTGGAGCACATCTGGCTCCCAGTTCTGAGGTTCCCCACCCCTGGTCAATACAGACTGACAGTTGTTCTTCAGGGTCTCAGAAATGAGCCATTCCCCTGGTGATCTGGAGCAACTAAGAACTGAACCTGGTTCTTTTTGCTTGCAATGCATTGGCAAATAGCCAACACCCTCCTCAATTGCTGCAAGTCAACTGGTTGACCAAGCCCGTTTGAAAAGTGATAGTCCTGCTCTTTCCCCTATTGCAGAAATCGCGAACAATGGAATGCATTTTCAGTTTCACTTGTATTTGTAATTAGGAGGTCCTCATCTTTGTCAATGCACCCAATCTCGTATTTACTCATATTACTGTATTTGTTTGAGGACTGTTTTTGATCAAGATACTGTATTGTCTTTATTTTTGGCATCTGATAGTTTGTCCCAACATTTTGTTGTTGTTTCCCTGTCCTCCTGATTTTTTGCACATGTTTGCCCAAGGTGTCAAAATGCATTGTTCCTTCCCTCTTGGCACATCAAATGTTTCCCAGCATTTTCCTTTGGGAAGGCCTCAAGGTGTCATTGCACTTAACCTCTCCCTTGGTAACACTTAAGTCAAGCCAGACACGCAGTCGATCATTCAGGCACTGATAGGCGATGCCGAAGTCGAATCCAGGCAAATATGAATGGGGAGGCAAGGGTGCGATTTATGTCAGCAAGGAAGCAATGAGATTTCAGTCTGTGCATGTGAGATTCACAACAAGACTCCAAGGCTTTATATTGATTATATATTTTTTTAAATGTATTTAAATAAAGCCCAATATGCTTTGACTGTTTAATGCAACAATATTGCAATAAGTTAAAGGCAGCATAAGGTTGTACAACCTGCCACTGAACTTATTATTACAGAACATAACAAAAAGCACCCCTCTCTCCACAAAATTATTTGGCTGATTTACATGTATTCACTTACAATAGGTTAGTTTGCAGTCGTTAGCTTTCCTGCAATGATAAGGATAGTTACCACTTCTAGATCGTTTTCTGTGATACCATCTTTTAAATAACTAATTTGGAGTACCCTGGAAAGCATATGGCATCCTTTTTTTAAATTTAATTTTTTAATATTTATTGCTGAGTACAATGACCAAACACACACACACAACAAACAAAATAAACAACACCAAAAATACAACCAATCAATCAATCAATCAATCAATAATAAAATAGACAAACAGCCATCAAAAAAAGTATCATCCTAAAATACAAAAAGCACTAACAAAAATACATAAATCTTGACTTCCCTCCACCTGTGTGTGACTTCCTTCTCTCTCTTTTGATTTAATTGTGTTATCAATATTAATTTGCCTATATCCTCTTATATCCAATTCCTCTTCATGTTTACCTGCAAACTTCATTCATTGCATATTGATATATTTATACCAGAACAATATTTCTTCATAACTAATTTGAAGTAACTTGGAAGGCATATGGCATCCAATTTTTTATTTTTGCAAATAAACTTTTTATTAGTGTTCCAATATTCTCCTAATATTAGCCAAATCATAACAATATCAATTAATTCCCAACTAATACAATTATTCAAATGCTAATCAGCTTCTAGCATATGGCATCCTAACATGTCCAATAGAGTAGCCTATACAGGTTTACAAAAGACTGAATAATATAAGAACAAAAGAAGGCTGGATCAGGCCAATGGCCCATCTAGCCCAGCATCCTGATCCAAGATGGCTAGCCTTATGTTCTTACATTCTAACTTAACTTGCAGAGCTGGATTCAGTTAGATGCAAAGTCATTATCTTACTGCACTGCTCGAGTGCCTGCAACATCTTTGCAAGAAGGAAGAAGATAGGGACAAACAAACCCCAAGCTGGCCCTATCTTATGGGACCCCCTTGGCTTACCCCACCAGGTCCAGCAGTTGCCAGCTGTCACTGGAGGGTATTTATTTGTTTTTATATTATAAAATGTATATACTGTTTGATATAGTAAAACAAAACAAAACCCAAACCACTCTCAAAGTAGTTTACGAAAAGAATGAAACAATGAAACTATCAGTAACAGAAAGTTAGAAACAACTATTTTGAAACTTTAAAAGCTAATTAAAATTGATGATGAGCTACAAACCAAATCAAAATACTTGTTATCTTTCTACATAGCTGGAGAGGCTTGCCAGAACAACATTCTTTTGCAGCAGCAAAAGCACCTGCCTGATAACTATAGGCAGGGAGTTCCAAAGCATGGGAGCTTCAGAGCTAAAAGGCTGCTTTCTTGAAAATGTATAACAAGTATTTCCTGGGACCTATAACAGTGCTGGTTCCAAGAATCCAGGCTACCGTTCTTCTACACACCCCAGTCACATACAACATTCCTGTATAACAATCATTTCTCCCCACTCTCTCCCATTGTTTCTTTTCATCTTGCCCTTTCTTTCTTTCTTTCTTTCTTTCTTTCTTTCTTTCTTTCTTTCCTAAGAAATTGGTGCCATGATGCTGCCGAACAGGGATGAAGGCTCCAGCATCTGACAGGCTTCCTTCAGGCCCAAACGCTTCAGCCAAGGACGCTCTTGGCATCCGTAAGCATGGAGTCAATATTCAGCACCAACAAGGAAACAATCCTTTGACAGGCATGGTGATGGTAGGAAAATGCTGATTGGTGCAGAAGATGCTTGGAGATGCTGAACTTCTTGGTGGGCAAGAGCACCCCTCCAACATTCAACTGTGGCAGGATAGGCATTACAGTGGTACCTTGATTTTCGAACACCTCCGTTGACAAACATTTCCATTTTCGAATGCTGTAAACCTGGAAGTAAATGCTTCGGCTTTTTAACATGCCATGCAGCTTCCACTGAGTGCAAGATCCAGAGGCCTAGCTGTCAGCTGTTGGGTCCTGAGTACCCACACATCACAGAGGTGATATTTGGGCTTATTTGGTGATATTTGGGCTTATTTGGTGATATTTGGGCTTATTTGGTGATATTTGGGCTTATTTAGTGATATTTGGGCTTATATTTAGTGATATTTGAGCAACCAATTTGTTTATATGACTGTGTGGAACCCAGTGCATAAATTGGTATGGTATCATTAGATAGTAAGAATCACGTTTAATTGCTGTTTTAGGGGTTGATTTTAAAGATCTGGATTAATCCATTTTGCATTACTTTCTATGGGAAACTGTGCCTCAGTTTTGGAACATTTCAGAACTCAAACTGTCTTCTGGAACAGATTACATTCGAAAACCGAGGTACCACTGTACCGAGGTACGACACTTATTATTATTAATTATTTATCTCCAAGGAACTCGAGGTGGTGTACATGGCTCCCCGTCATTTTGTCCTCACAACCCTGTGAGCTAAGTTAAGCTGAGAGGCAGTCACTGGCCCAGTGAGCATCTCAGCTGAGTGGAGATTCAAACCCTGGTTTCCCAGGTCATAGTCCAATACTACACCACACTAGCACTGGTACCACTATTATAGCATGGGCTTAGATTCAGCCAACATCTTCACTATCCCAGTAAATCCAGGATGGGAAACCTGCGGCAACATCATCAGACCATTACACCAGAGCTTAAAAGCTTGCCCCAACTGACCATACAGTATGTCACTCGGCCAAGCTCAAGGTTCTTGTATTAATTTACAAAACCCATAACAACTCACTGGTATCCTTGCTCAGTCACTGAGATCTTCACAAGAGGCTCTGTTACTGGTCTCCCTGGGCTTGGATGTTATGTCTTGGATCAGCCAGAAGCTGTGCATTCAGTATTTGGGACCCAATTCTGAGGAACCCCTCTTCCCTCTCCTTGTTGAACTTGAAATGCTCAGCAAAGATTTCTCTACTTCCACAGGCATGTTTTCTGGATTTTGTTTTTAAAATGAATTTAAATTGATCTGATCCATGGTATGCTTTTTAATGTGTATAGACATCCTTAGAAACACCAGTACAGTGTTACCTTGGGTTACAGACGCTTCAGGTTACACACTCCGCTAACCCAGATATAGTACCTCAGGTTAAGAACTTTGCTTCAGGATGAGAACAGAAATCGGGCTCCGGTGGCGCGGCGGCAGCAGGAGGCCCCATTAGCTAAAGTGGTGTTTCAGGTTAAGAACAGTTTCAGGCTAAGAACAGACCTCCGGAACGAATTAAGTTCTTAACCCAAGGTACCACTGTATTAAATGGTATATACATACAGTAGCTTTAAATTTTATACACACACACACACACACACACACACACACACACACTATTCGGGACTTTTTACTTGGTTCTCAGAGCCAGGATTTCTCCATTAAATGAAAACAAGAGTATCTTTTGTTGCAGGGATTGGAAATCCTAAACGTCCAAATGTTATTGGGCTCCACCTCCCATCCCATCATTGGCCCTGCTGGCTGGGGATATTGGGAGCCCAACAACAGCTGCAGCACTTTTTTTGCAGCAGGCGGTGCTTCCAGACCACGGTAGCCCCCCATAGAGAGCCTTGCAGTAGTCAAGTCCTGAATTTACCAGGGCATGGATCACTGTTGCCAGGGTATCCCTGTCCAAGAGCAGTAAGATGCACTCATGGCCACTGATGCCAAGCCAAGCTCCATCTTATCTCGCTGTGTTCCATACCTTTAGGGGATTTACTAGCTAGGCTGAAAGAGTTTGATCTTTGGGAATTGTGACATCCTCGGAAATTTGCACATCGGAATATCATTGCCCACTAGATTTTGCACATGGCGAGTGTTCCAACACAGTTGTCAGCTTGTGCAATGTTTCCACCTATGTTTTAAAAGTGTGCATTTTGAGGTGAGATACTTCAAGTGTGTTACTTTTTGTGCAGTTTATTTATATTTTTAAAAATGGCAGATTCACATGGAAATGAGATGGAATGGGCCTTTGGAGGAATGACATGAAATAGGCTGCGGTGTCTTCCCCTACAATTGCAATAGACATTATTATTATTATTATTATTATTATTATTATTATTATTATTTACTCAAGAGGTTTTTCCACAAATAGTTTCAAAAACGTACCAAATCTATTTGGCCCAAAAGGTGGAAGTGGGATTAAAGAAATACCTGTAGCAGCAAACCTCTTGCTAACCATTGTCAACTCAATGAAAAAGCAAAATACTGTCTGTAGCCAATGCTGATTTCACAAGTCTCCTGTTGTCCTCTTTTGGGGCTCCACCTTTCTCTCCCTCTGTCTCTGCCCCCAACTTCTTATTGTTCGGTTCAACTAACACTTTGTAATGGACTGGTTCCTAAAATGCAATTCTGTTGTCAAACCCCCAGCAACTTTTAAAAGCCAGCAGTATTGGAGTGCAGTGAGTCAGTCTGTTAGCTCTTGGGTCCTCTCTGTAGGCTGGTTACAGTCTTGTAAAAACCCCATGCCTGGCAGGAGAATCGGTCTACAAGGGCTGATCATTGACTCCATTTTATTGGCTGAATAAAAAAAGGCCAGACTGCATTTTGAGGACCAGTCAGTGTTCCTGGCTGCCCGTCTTCAGAAGGCAAGCAAATCATTAGTCTATTAACAACTGCCTCTTGGCCTGTTTTCCAGCTTAAAAACAACAACGACGCTCTCGCAATTGGCGGTAGGGTCAGTCTTAAAATGTTAACATTGCCTTCCATCAGTCTCGGCACCCTGTAAACTGAGAGGCTTTTTGCTCCCTCATCGGGGGAGTTCTCTTGTTCGTTTTTCCATGTGTCTCTGACATATGGAGCAATTTTTTTTTTTAAAAAAAGGAAAGAAAAGAAAAGAAAGCAGCCAGCCTCCTAGCTGTGTCATATATTTGTTGGGGGAATCACTGGTGTGTGACTGGGTGGGAACCTGGGTACAAAGGAAACATGCCTTTTTATGAGTCAGGAAATTGCAAGCCAGACTTGGGGCTAAGCGGGGTGTCGCCCACCTTGGCCAAGTTACACATCATAATTTGTCTCTAGGCAGAGTGATTGGAACTGGGGAAGGAACTGTTGAAGGATCCCAGGTATGGCTGTGAGTAGACATTGTTTTCTGTTCTGCAGCACTGTTTCTGTTTCTCTGCAGGTTGCCTTCCTCCCAAAACTACAGTATGGTAAAATTACACAACTTACTTCATTTACGTAACTGATTACAGATGCGCATAGAGACCTATAAGCTCAGCTAACTAGCCAGGCTAGAGGCCTTGGTCCTATTGTTTCTTTCCAGTGTCTTACCTTGTTCTAGGAGCAGCTTTACTCCCAAGGTTGTAAACACATTCCTAAAGAAGACATGCCTTGCTGTTCTGAGACGTACCTTCAAATGTCCTAACCCCCTCAGGTAGAAAGGAATGCAAAGAGATCATGTGCAGCGGGGGGTTGCTTAGAGAGAGTTCTTCGTTTGCTTGCTCAATGAACAGGTAATGAAGGAAAGACCATACAAGGTATAATTAGTATTGTGTTGTAACTTTAGATTGGAGGAAGTTTATGCATATGCATTGCTTTAACAGATAACATCTATGTAGATTAAGGAGGCCCCAACCTTTCGGGACACAGGTGGCGCTGTGGGTTAAACCACAGAGCCTAGGACTTGTCGATCAGAAGGTCGGTGGTTTGAATACCTGCGACGGGGTGAGCTCCTGTTGCTCGGTCCCTGCTCCTGCCCACCTAGCAGTTCGAAAGCACGTCAAAGTGCAAGTAGATAAATAGGTACCGTTCCGGCGGGAAGGTAAACGGCATTTCCGTGCACTGCTCTGGTTTCATCAGAAGCAGCTTAGTCATGCTGGCCACATGACCCGGAAGCTGTGCGCCGGCTCCCTTGGCCAATAAAGCGAGATGAGTGCCGCAACCCCAGAGTCAGTCACAACTGGACCTAATGGTCAGGGGTCCCTTTACCTTTACCTTTAACCTTTTGGGACTTTGCTCAGCTTGTGGAGAGTGATCCCACTGTGCCATTATTGCTAGCAATAAACACCCTTTGTTTTCTCACCGCTGTGGAGATTTCCTTCATCCTCAAACGTTGATTTTTGCTACATTACTTATGCAGTGATGTCAACACATTATTCCATCCTCTTTACCCCCATTCAAATTACTTATGAAATTATGTAACTCATTGTCACGGCTGGAGTCAGACGCAGGTTAGCATGAAAGACACAGGGCTCCGTTGTCAGTGAAATTAACTCTTTATTCAAGGAAATGGCATACAACTCAGCAACAATTCCCAGTAGGTCTTGCCCCTATAGAGCAGTTACCAGGGCCGGCTTCCACACCTCTATAATCCTCCTCCTTTCCCAGATGTTTTCCAAACAGAGGTGTCTATGCACCTTTGACCTCTGTTCTGCTCTCACTATTCTGCGCGTTCATAGAGACCAGGGAGAGGGGAGCCTGTTGCAGCAGGAGACTCCCTGGATTCTTCAGCAGCCTCTTGACCTCCCTCCTCTGCTTCAGCCTCTGCGTCTGAACTTATCTCTGTCACAGGCTCGTCCTGCTCACTAAACCCTGTTGCCCCTTTGGTTTCTGGCACCTCCTCCCAATCTTCTGACCTCTCCTCGATGCCCCACCACCAATCCCCTGGCTCTGAGCCTTCCTCCTCTGGGCTTTCACTTTCCAGCTGGTGCTTCCCACTACTCCTCTTTGTCCAGCCAGTTGCTGACATTTATGTCATTTATGAAATTAATTATGTAAATTACTGCTGGAAGTTTGGGTGCAACTCAGCTTCCAGCAGAAGGGCTTTGCAGCAGGTTCAGACAGACAGAGCAAGGGACCTCCAGATTCCCAGATTATCCCTGTATCTGTAGCTCCTTGTTGCTTAGACTTATATACAGTGGTACCTCAGGTTAAGTACTTAATTAGTTCCGGAGGTCCGTTCTTAACCTGAAACTGTTCTAACTTTAGCACTACTTTAGCTAATGGGGCCCCCTGCTGCCGCTGTGCTGCCGGAGCCCGATTTCTGTTCTTATCCTGAAGCAAAGTTCTTAACCTGAAGCACTATTTCTGGGTTAGCGGAGTGTGTAACCTGAAGCGTATATAACCTGAAGCATATGTAACCCGAGGTACCACTGTACTCAGGTTGCATCCTGTTTTACAATTCTTCCTCCTCCTCTTTCCTCTTCCCCAGACCTCAATATGAAGGTAATCTTTAATCCCCATAGAGAACAAAGGAGCAAGCATGGCTGCCTTGTCCTTCTCTAGACTACTTGCTTAGACTAGAACTAGACACCTTTTCTGTCCAAGTTATGTAGTTCCTACAGCAAACAACTTTATTATTTTCTTACCTACAAGCACCTCTCTGTGTGACTGCAATAATCAAAGTGGTCTCTCTACCACGATTCACGAGCTTAAATGGTGCTCCCTTTGCATAGCAAAAGGTTTTCTATTTCCATTGCTTCACTATGTACTGTGTGAGTAAGTAAGCTTGCACTCAGCCTGCATATTCTATGTGCAAATAAATTATTATATCACAGAAATGCTGTAAGCCTCCAGTGACCTTCATTCTAAGGAAACCAGTTTCACAGCACGAGCTAGGATCCCTGAAGCTTTCCCCTGCTCAGAGATTGGGGTGCGTGTCAACAAAACATAATGCATCTGTAGCTGGATTAGAGAACAATTTATGGGAAAATAACAACAGACTCCATAAAGGCTGCAGAGAGAGATTATGCAATGGCCAGAGGTGCAGATGGAACTGTGAAGAGCAGACCACCCTCCAGATATTTCCTACTTCCCTCCTAGAGCATGCTGGGAATTGAGGAAGTTCAAACTGGGACAAGCAGCCCAGAAGGAGAGGATGCCATTCCAGAGAATCCTCTGAGTAATGAGAGGAAGTCAAGGCCCATCAGCTAGAAAAGATGCAACAATTCAGAGAAGAAGCATTGCGGGGTGGGGATGGGGGTGTCAGATCAATGAATGCTGCTGGAATGAGGACAAGATTGGCAATACTCTGCAACAGAATGGGGAGGAATGGGGGTGGGTTCTTTCTTTAACTGTCAAAAATAAAAATAGAAAACCCACCCACCATCTCATTTTGATTTAATGCAAAAATTTCCCCCCTGGGACCTTGGATGCTTGGATGGTAATTCAAATAACAGATGCATGTCTGATATCCAGCTTCAGGGAGGAGGGCAAGGATTCTGCCCTCCCCCCCCAAAAAAAAGAGAGTTTGATTTATAAACAAGCAAGCAAGCAAGCAAACAAACAAACAAACAACCCCCATCCCAGTCTGGATCTCACACCTGGAGTCTTGCAACAATAGCCCAGTTGTGTACGTTGTGTATGCCTAATGGGTGTCTCCAGGGCTTTTTTTCCCAGAGGGAACTCACAGGAACTCAGTTCTGGTACCTCTCAGGTGGACGCCATTGCCATTCTAAGAGAATGAGGGAGGTGAGTTTCTGCAACTCTTTCTCTAGAAAAATAACACTGGGCGTCATTTAGATTTAATTGTGCTCACACAAGACACTAGACGGACGCAAGGGTGTAGGTATGCACACACTCTGACAAGTACCTAAAAGGGAGAACCATAATCAGTGGTGGATTAAACCCTGTGGAGGCAGTCAAAATCTGGGGGGGGGGGGGGCTCACAAATTATCTCCGAATCTTGATTGCAATTTTCTTTCAGGATAAAATTTTGATCCGTTGTCACGAGGCCCCTAAAAGGCACAGGACCCACATCGTTCTAATAATATTTGATTTCTTACCCTCACGTATGGTCATGGATGATGGGATTTGTAGTCCATAACATCTGGAGGGTCACCAACTTGGGTGGCTTTAAAAGTGGATTGGACAAATTCATGGAGAATAAGGCTATCAATGGATACTAGCCAGCATGGCTAGGAACTGCCTCCATGGTCGGAGGCAGTAATACTTCCGAATAGCAATTGTTGGATACCAAATGAGGGGAGGGTTGCTCTTGAGCTTAGGTCCTGCTTGTGAGTTTCCCTGAGGCATCTGGTCAGCCACTGTGAGGAAAAGGCCACTGGCCTGATCTACTAGGACTTATCTTATGTTCTTAAGGCTGGCCTATGAAGATCAATAAATGTGCAAGAACAAAAGAGACGAGAGCCCAAGCAGAGCATGGGTGAGGGAGAAGGAGTGGTCCTGTGCAAGCACTGAAAAGAGAAACCCAGATCAAAGACAGAAATTAATCAGAGATGTTTTGGCTGTAAGCTCATCAGGGCTGACCCTGCTGTCTGACAGTCTGCAAATCGCCATGTCTGTCGATAAACATCAGTGGCCCATCTAGTCCAGCATCCTGCTCTCAGTGGCCAACCAGATGAATGAATGAATGAATCTTTATTTGCATCAGCCATTGGCCATAGCAATAAAACAACAATACAATATACAAAGAATAAAAATTAATGCCTGTGGGAGACCCGGACCCGAGCCCCCTCTCCCCTCCTGTGGCTTCCAGCAACTGGTATTAAGAAGCGTTAGTGCTTCTGACCATGGAGGCAGAAGATAGCCATCGTGGCTAGTAGCCATTGGTAAAGGTAAAGGGTAAAGGGTAAAGGGACCCCTGACCATTAGGTCCAGTCATGACCAAATCTGGGGTTGTAGCGCTCATCTCGCTTTATTGGCTGAGGGAGCCGGTGTACAGCTTCCGGGTCCTGTGGCCAGCATGACTAAGCCACTTCTGGCGAACCAGAGCAGCGCACGGAAACGCCGTTTACCTTCCCGCCAGAAGGTATTTATCTACTTGCACTTTGATGTGCTTTCAAACTGCTAGGTTGGCAGGAGCAGGGACCGAGCAACGGGAGCTCACCCTGTCGTGGGGATTCGAACTGCCGACCTTCTGATCGGCAAGTCCTAGGCTCTGTGGTTTAACCCACAGCACCACCCGCGACCACCCACAGCGCCACCCGCGTCTACCTGTACTAACATTAAATAAACCCAATAACATTTTTTTTAAAAGTTGGTTATTTGCTTTTCCACCAGAAAATGCAAACAAACAAACAGCTATTCCAAAGAATACCTTTATATATGTATTCAAATCTATGTTTTTGAATGACACATTTCTGCCACCTTGCCAAGGCACTTTCTTCCACTTGGGGCATCTTGGTTTGGCAGCTTTTCACGACGTTTCATCCTACATTTCAGCATTGCGACTGTCTGTTCTGATTCTGAAAACAGATTCGTTGTGAAACACTGACATTTCCCGTGGCGTCTGAATCCTGACCGACGCTGGCCAGTGGGGGAGCCAAGTCTTTATCACCTGACAGCGCCTTGTCACCTGAACGATCAGAATGGTGGACCTTGATCCTTCAGTGACGTTCTTTGGGTATTCCACGAAACAATAAACCTATGAAGGGAACATACAGACAATTCAAAAGTCCAGCAGCCTCTGCTCAGCTTGATGCAAGGCTTTTCACCACAGAGCCCCATTTTGCCACCTGCGCATCTGACAGAAAGAATGCGGTGTGAAGGTTGTAGTGTGAGATGTGGAGAATTCTGAAGATCTGCTGATGTCCCTTTCATAAAAACATGAGACAAGCCTGCTGGAGGCCCATCAAGACCAGAATCCTCTTCACAAAGGGGCAAACCAGATGCTCTAATGGGAAGCTTCCAGGGCCTCACCTGGGATAGAGGCATTAATGGTGTTGATGGCCATGTAGGAGGAATTTGGGTCCTGGGCAGACAGAAGGTTGCCAGCGTAACTGGATGGTAAGTGACAGAAAAAGAGAGTTTTTAGCAAAGTGTGCTGAGAAGAAGGTGGGGAGAAGAAAAACTGGGATCCATCTTGGGCTGGCTGGCTGAAGGCTGGCTGGGAGAGATGCCTTTGACTCCAGTGCTGCACTGATGTGGAGGACAAGCCCCTCTTGAAATGACCATGCTGTAAAATGCATTATTTTAAGGGGAAATTGCTCCAGTATCTGCTCAGCAGGGGGTGTTCAGTCAACAGTGCAAAGGCTGAGCTGAAGCATTCCCTGCTGCTTACCTGCTTTCAGCAATAGGGGTCACTGTTTTGCAGACTTTGGCTGTGAACTGGGGCCCTACCCAAAAAAAAAAATTCAAGTTGCACCCCACTGCTTCAAATTGGGCCCCACTGGCTAGCCCTGAGTCTCATAGTTGCTGGTCCTGAGTTGCCCTGCCCTCGCATGAAGTCTTGGGTTTACAATTTTGGGACAGGGGAGACTTCCACTGGGGAGTGGACGGGCTGGCGAGGCCCCCTAGATTTAGAGGCCCTAGGCTTCAGCCTACTTAGCATATACATAAATCCAGCACTGCTGGGAGACCAGGCTTCAAATCTCCACTAAGCCCTGAAGCTCATTGAGTGACCTTGGGCCAGTCACTACCTGTCAGCCAAACCTACCTCGCAGGATTGTTGTGAGGATTAAATGAGGAGGGGTGGAGATCCAAGTACAGTACTTGAGTTACCTGAAAAGAGAAAAAAGTGATTTATCAATGCAATGAACAAAATGAAGAATCAATAAAGTATAGTAGAAGCTGTACGGCATGAAAAGTAGTGCAACAGAGAGCTGTCTCCCTCGTGCTTTGCTTACATCCCCTGCCCTTCTTACAACCGCTGGTGGAGCGGGTGACTCACAGCTTTGAAATCTGTGCAGGATGCCAGCTGAAAACAGAGGCTTTGCGCCCATCAAATTGACAGATGGTGCGCAGACTGCCCTGCTAGGCAAAGACTCATCCATATTCTGAGTTAAAAGAAATATTGCCATTTAAAAAAAAATAAAAGGAGGGGAGAAACATATTTAAAAGATAAAGGGTGGTGGTGGTGGTGGAAGCAGCAAGGGTTTGCTGGTCATTAATAATGGGAATAAAATCGAGGTGAAGGGCTTCACTTTAAAGACATGTTAAAGCTCCTTAATCTTCAAAGAGATAAGGGCAAGGCAGCTGTGTGTGCCAAGCGAGGAAGTTTATTCCGCCAGGCGGCAGGCGAGGCTCCGGAGAGTTTTGAGGGCACCGCAAAGGTTACCTCTGCAGCCATCGCAGGACGGGGCCTCGGGGTAAACTTGAACTGAGCTTGACCGGGTTCTGATGCGAAAAAGGAGAGGAGGAAAGAGGAGGAAATGCCAAACGCATGAGGATGATCCTGCCTAGAGTCACAAGCAATTGCTCTCTCTGCTACAGCCTCTCTGCCATTGAGAAATGAAAGGCCTTTTCTTCTTCTGGATTTGGCATAGGGCTTAGTTCAGAGGCGAGGAGTCTTTCCCAGCCCAGGGCCCACATGTCAGTGGTGGGTAGGGCTAGAGGTGAATGTGGGCGGAGCAATGCATGCAAATTTTATTTCTTTATCTGCTCTATTTGTATCCTACCTTTTCCACCAAGGAGCTCAAGGTCGGGTAACAACAATTTATTTATATTTTGCCATCTGACTGGGACGCCCGAGCCACTCTGGGGAGCTTCCAACAAATTAAAAACATTAAGCACATTAAAACATCAAACTTTAAAAGAGTCCCGATACAGGCCTGCCTTCGCATGTCTTCTAAAAGTCAGATAGTTGTTTATTTCCTTGGCATCTGACAGGAGGGCGTTTTTTGGGGGGTGACTACCAAGAAGGCCCTCTGCCTGATTCTCTGTAGCTTTACTTCTCGCAGTGGGAGAACTGCCAGAAGGCCCTCGGAGCTAGATCTCAGTGTCTGGGCTGAACAATGGCAATGGGGACGCTCTTTCAGGTATTCAGAGCCGAAGCCGTTTAGGGCTTTAAAATAAGGTTACCAGATGTCCCCATTTCCCGGTGACAGTCCCCGGATTTACAAATCAGTCCCCATACAAAATCCATTGAAGTTGAAAAGGATTCATTGAAAAAATCTGGTAACCTTACTTTAAAAGTCAGCACTAACACTTCAAATGGTTCTTGGAAATGTACTGGCAGCTGCTCCCAGTCACCA